AGATCAAAAATTCAAAATTTATATGGGGGGGCGAAATTCCTAAAGGGGGGCGATATTCCTAGGAGATTCGCCCCCCTGGGGGGCGATATTCCTAGGAGATTCGCCCCGGGGGGGCGAATATCCTAGGAATATCGCCTCCCTTTTGAGAGGGGGGGCGAATCTCCTGGGGGGGGGCGAATCTCCTGTGACACCGGCAGCATACTAATACAGCTATTGATTGGTGAAACTGTCTACAGCTGGCATTAAAATTTCATTATAATTTATTTAAAAATTATGTGTGTGTTTAAATTTCATCGCGTATGAATATTAAGACAATATGCCTGTGAAAATGCTGTGAAATTTATGATTGTTCGATTCCGTATGAGCTAATTGACTAGTGGCTTAATTCAGACTTAATTAATTGTTGTTACTAAGCTTTTCATTGGCTTATTTTTTTTCAAGGACACAAAAACTATATTCGCTCTATTGCGTGTTAATATTTTTTGTCAGGCACAAAATGTCCACGAGTATCAGGCACCAATCATTTGATACCTGGCACTTTATCAGGCACCGTTGGAAATTTATTTTCAGGCTTGATGGTTACATGAGATAAAAACAGTACGTGAGTTTCCCCACAAACCGCGCTCATGTGAACATTGTTCTGTTGTTGTTTTGTTTGAGAACCTAGATAAAATATATTTCATTGTTTGTTTCGTAGTTACTCGGAACAATGTCGGCGGCTGCCGTACATCGTCGTCATCTTATGGTGTGGAAAATTTTCGCGCCACGATTCATCTTCGAAGGAGTATCATTTATTATGACGTCATTCGTTTTGGTCCTGGTGTTCGCGTTTGTATTGAGAGCTGACAAGGCTTTGAAAATTTGGTGCCTGACGTTGCAGAGTCGTGGAGATAAGTCATAGAAATAATTGATACGAAATAGCAAACTAAACTCTTCTCCCTGGGGGAAAGGTTTATTTGCGAGGGACTCCTAGGGGTTTCTAGGAAACAAGGGAACAATGCATATTTTGCAAGCGGAACAAGGGAACAAAGGCGAAAAGATCATGTAGGGAACATGGGAACATGTAAGCTTGAGGAACATGGTGAAATCTTTGTGGGGGAATGAAAAAGGGAACACGGGTGACACAGCCCCCCCCCCTCCCTCCTACAGGAGGAAACCTAAACTAAACTAACATTATTTATAACTTCTTTATTTAATACGTCATTTCGGGATGGTAATATGGAAAGTCACCCAACATTTTTTATAAGTGTTTCGCGAGTTTTTGAAGTAACTTCGAATACGAAGTGTGCGGGAATTTGATGATAAATGACTCCCAAGTTTATTATTTATAGATAACTAGTGCTCAATTGATCTGAAGTCAGTATTTTATTAAGATTTTTCCATACGTTTCTCAATCGGCAAACAAACTTTAAAAGTATGTTTAATGCTTTATCTGTAAAATAATGCTAAAATGAAGAGATTTTAGATTGTACGCCAAATAGAAAATGTGTCTGATGTTCGGCAAGTTTTGTTTATGTGGCTGTAATAAATATGGCGTCATTTTAAAACATCATTGATAATTTTTTGCCATTATTTTAATGTTTCTCAACCGGCAGATGCATTTAAAAAGGTAGCTAACTGTATAAACTAGAGAATAAAGCTAAAACGAAGTAATTTTGAGAGGTACGCCAAAAATATTTTCGCTTTTGAATATTTTTCATCGCAAATAGTCTTGTAAACGTAAAATCCTCGCGCTTGTGCCACGGACGACACAACGCGGCTCGGCACGTGGGCACTGCTCGGCTACCAAATACAATATGGCGGAAAGCGAAGGGGCAGCTGCCAGCGAAGACAGTGAACAAACAATGAATTTAAAAGCTCTTGTTATCGGAGGCACTGGTGCAGTTGGAAAATGTTTAGTTGGCGAACTTCTCAGCTCAAAGGTAAAAATTAAATTAGCAATATTCGCTTGTATATCGTTTTTAAGATGCCGTGATAATTTAATCGCGTGATCGATTTTGTAACAATTATACTATGACATTCCTGAAATTCCTAATTGTGATTGCAGCTGATTGCAACTCTTCACGAGCGCAAGTGGCAATAAAATTGTACAATGTTGTATGTGGGGGGCTAGTTTCAATAAATGGATATGCATTTTTTGCCTGTGTCAAATTTTGGCCACTGCAAAAATTCGAATTAATTTTACAAAGAGTCGAACGCCAAAGTATTTAAGTAAATACAAAAGGTTGATACTTGATAGTAATTTTGAGCTTGATTTTGTACAATATTGTACTGTCTGCAATATTGAGAAATGGGAAAGGCTGATTTCTGCTATGATGATTTCCACCCAGATGCATAATGTGTCAGATGAATGAAAAGACAAGCTTGATCACAAATTATGCAATCAAGTGTATTAAAGTCTGTTTGTTTGCGATGTCCGTAATGGATTTTAGCGACATTAACATATGTAGAATGCAAACTGTCTGTTTTGCTGCATTTATAGCCAGTATCTTGCTGAATCTTATTCAATACCCTTAACCCTTTAAGTGGCAATGCACCCTACAGTACATTATTATTTAATATTTTACCCTGTCTATTTTTGCTTGTCAAGGGGAGAGTACTGGCACTTAATGGATTACTCAGACTATCTGCCAATGCATCCTGTTTACCCTGATGCACCCTACTTTAGTGTGTTACTCTGTCTAATGCCAGACAATTTTACTTATTAAGGGGAGAGTGCTGCCACTCAATGGGTCTAATATTTTTAGAATTTTTCCAAAGTGGTTGTCCTTGGCAGAAGAAATGCCGCAGTACCAGAGGAATACAATGTGAACCAAAGTGAAGCTGAAAGCGAGGGTCGACTTGTGCAAGTCACTGTTGGTAAGTTTTTCTTACTGGGCTTTTAGCCAGGATCCTGACACATGTGGCTTTGTGAGTTTTGTACTGCTATGCTTCTTTACTTAACTGACCCTCCCCCCCCCCTTGGAAAGTTTTCCCACCCCACCTAGAGACACTTACCCCACATACCCAGAAATCCAAATATTGTTGGATAAAATAACAGTAATATTATTGAAATATGGATTTTGAACTGAAAATATTCTCAAAATTCCCTGGGGTCTTCACCCCCTTTACCCCCTCCCCCCAAGCCTGTCCCCACTAGCAACTGTGTCCCCAAACCCCTGCTGCAGCTTTCTCAGTGGTGCTACAGGACCCTTGTTCATACCCCCTACCCTGAATTTTTTACACGCCCCCCTAAAAAAAAGAAGAATCCGTCTATGGGGGGAGATGTAGCTTGGTTTCCTTGCTTTTGACCTGGATTTGTGAATGTTTCTGAAGTTGACCAAAATCAGCTTCTCTCTATAAACTCTTATGAAAACATGCCAATGTGGACAACAAAATGAGAACATATGTATTTAAATTTTAGATTTTGAGACGCTAACAAAAGATAGTGTTGGTGAACATTTTCAAGATGGAGATGTATTTTTCAACACGATGGGGACAACAAGAAAGGTTGCTGGATCAGCTGTATGTAAACGTTTTGCATTGTATTTTGTGCTCAAGTTGTGTTTCGAAATTTGTCTACAGTATTATAGTGTCATGAAAGCAACATATTCGTGCAACATATTCACACGAGTGAACATTTCCTCCAAGTGTGTGCGCGCGCACTGACTATCAGCTTACAATAGAAGGCAAATACGCATGCGTGTTGACTCGTATTTTCAAGGCCTCATTAGACAAAAAAGAGATAGTGCTTCTTCTTTCAATGTGACGCAGACAAAAACGGTGGACATCATAAAGACATGGATATTCAAGCCACAGATCAGTGATTTTGTCCTCAGAACAGCATCAGCAACAACACTACTAGTCACCATTTTGATTTGAAAATATCGACACGCATGCGTATTTGCCTCTTATTGTAAGCTGATAGCTTTGCCGCGCGCACACTTGGAGGAAAGATTCACTTGTGCACAAAATTATTCAGAGTGTCCCTATATGTCGTGTGTCGTGGGTTAAAAGTCGTGTGTCGTGGGTAAAGTCGTGGGTAAAGTCGTGGGTAAAGTCGTGGGTCATAAAATGTGCTAAAAACGCATTTTTTCATATTTTTATTTTTAATATTTTTTTCGTACTTTTTCCTTTTATGCGCTAGATAAATACAGGAAAATTTAACGCAACAAATCTCCAGTAATAAAATAATTTCTTATCTTGCTGTTATATATAGTATAACAAGTAAATGTTTCCGTTTCGTATAGTCTAATAAGTCTAT